GTCCTCAATCCTTCTCCCTAGTGTTCTTTTTGGACAAACAAACTTTCAGAGAAAAACATCCCTTCCATCTCAGGTTTGTGTAGAAAGCTCAAAGTCTTGAAGACCTCCTTCTTAAATTCACTTTTAAGCAATGCATTCTCTCCAACCCCAAGACTACTTCTCTCATTTATGTTTAAATATGATGAAGTGAAGTAAGTCACACAGAGAAAGAAAAACACCATATGATCTCACTTACACGTGGAATCCGAAACACCAGCCAACGAACCAACCCAAACTCAGAACAGATAGGTGGTTGCCAAAGGCTGGGGAGGGGAGTGGGATAAAATGGGTGAAGGGCTCAAAAGGTAGACGCTTGCAGTCATAAAATAACTAAGTCCTGGGTCTGTAATGTACAACATGGTGACCGTAGTTAATAATCCTGCATTGCATAGATCAAAGCTGCTTAAGAGAATCAATCTTCGATGTTTTCATCACAAGAAAGGAGAATCTAACTATGATGATGGATGTTAGTAAGACTTAACTGTGGTGATCAGTCAGTGATATGTACATCTACCGAATCATTATGTATACACCCGAAGCTAATACAATGTCGTATGTCAGGTATATCTCAATAGAAGGCAACGGACCCCTTATTGCACATATTTGAACAAAATGTGATGACATGTGTGAGCACACTGCTTCTACTGTCTGTTCAACTGGTGGAAGTCAACTACCCTGTAACACATCGCCAGACCATCTTTACACCGGTCAGATAAAATTCTATTTTCATGGGATTTAGGAAAAATAATGGGTATGGGTCAACTTCTAAATAGTTGGTGAAAACAGGTATTGCTCTATGTACTCTGAAGAACCTTCTGATGTTAATCAGTCTCAAGGTGAAGTGCCTTCTGCATAAACCGTGCAGCCTTGGTCTAGACCTCTGCACATTCTCATCTGAACCTGGGGTCAAAGGCCTTAGGTTCTCAGCTCTGGAGGAAGCTCACCTGATGGACAGATCGCTGACGGAGGCTCTCGAAGGGGCCCCTCTGCCCAGCCTTCTCACTCCCAACCGAGTGTCTCACTGTGCGCAGTCACCCCAGGTGAGCAGATCTCCTCTTCCTGGGACAATCCTCTTTATTTTGAGCTGACATTTGTTTTCCCAGTGATACTAATGATAAATTAGTAATAGAAGCCATGAATTTGGAATTTTTCTTCCACTCACAAGTCAGGTAATTTAAAGATAGTTTAGGTACCTCATTTACAGGCTGTAAATGAGATCTGGGTGTGTTTGATGGGCTGCAGTATAACGGCCTGAAATGAGAGTGGGCCCGGAAGACAGCCATGGCACTCCAACTGAGCCGAGGGGAGTTGCCGTCCTTACCTAACTTTCTCTCCTCTATATGTGTCATCTGTACAATACGGGTCCTGGCATCTCAATTTAATGAAATCATAATTCTTGTGAGGGGTGCCTGGGTGATTCAATTGGTTAAGTGTCCAACTCCTGACTCTGGCTTAGGTCATGATCTCCTTCCTGGTTCATGGGATTGAGCCCTGCATCAGACTCCACGTTGGACTTCATGCTTCAGCACAGAGCCTGCTTGGGATTCTCTCTCTCCCTTCTCTCTGACTCTCTCTCTCAAAACTAAATAAACTTTTCAAAAAAGCATTCTAAATTAAAACACCAAGACTGCATTGGCCAACTGGAGCAAATAGCCAGAATTTAAAATAAAATCCTTGTGTTCACCAAAAAAAAAGTCCATGTGGAAAAATGGTCATTCTTGTGGCAATGGGAGTATAAGCTGGTAAAAACTCTCTTGTGGGCAATTTGGGCACATGTATCAAGTCATACCATGAAGCAGAAATCTCAGTTCTAGGTACGGGGTCTAAAGGAATAACCGGAAATATTGAGTAGAATGTTCTTTGTACTCATTTCTAATAGTGAAAACTTGAAAGTAATTGAATGCTGCTTTCTAAAATTCTAACTAATAGATACTTGATTAAACATAGTCCATTTCAGGAAGATTATAAAGTTTTGACATTTCATCAAATGGGAAAATATGTACTGTCTACTATCAGGTAAAGAAACCCAAGTACAGGACTATGTTGAGTGTGATCTGTATGTTTTAGAAGCACGGAGAAGAGATTAGCACTAAAAAACTAGCTGATTCCTCTTTAGATGAAGATGACAGTAAATTTTTATTTATTTTTTTGTGTTCCAAGTATTCTGCAATGATTATATATTACTTTTTATTATAAGAATATAGCTATGTAAAGAGTACAAATGCTCTCCAAATTTACCCTTCGGTGCCTTTTAAGTTTACAAATCAATAACTGGCTTTCAGTGGTACCCATTGCCTTCAGACAAATAATAACAAAGTGCATAACAAAGAATTTTGCCTCGAAAAAAAGCAGCAACCTCTTTGTACCTACAGGTTTCTGAGAATTCACAGGTAGTGTAGGCTTGCTGTCGACCATTAACAGCTTTTCAAAGATCACCAAACATAAGAATGCGGGGGACAGAAATCTTAAAGTTTTTAATCGCCTCTTTTTTTTTTTTCCTACAATGCCTAAATGCTTGTTTCTCCTACATAAACTACTGTCAACCATTATTTTACAGGTTTTATATCTCTTAAAGTATTAATGAAATATCAAGGAACGGCCTCCCCCCAAACCACAGTCTGAGGAGTATCTCCAACTTTTAACAGTCCCACACTTAAAGGAAAAAATATCTGATTAGTTCTTAAACCCGAGACTCAAGCTGCAAAAATAGGAATGGAAACTAGGGCTACGTCTGCATGTGGATGACGTTCGCCTGACCAGACGGAAACATAGGGCAGCCAGGCCACTCGCCTTCTCCCCGGCCTCCCACGGCCTCCGGCCACGTGGGCAGGCGCGTGGCCCGCTCTCTCTGTCGCTCAGGCCCACTTGCTCTCGTGCTGCAGAAGATGCAGACCCGGTCCCTGGGCTGAGAGAGGACCACGGGGAAATGCAGAGCGCTCAACGCCACGCGTGGGGTCCATCCCAGGGACACGCGAGGTGAAGCAGAGGTGGACATGTGTATTCAAACACAGATGAAGGAAGCGGAAATTTGAGGAAATCCTCAAATCAGAGGTAGCCCATTTCTTCCCCGGATCATCCAATCTCTCCGCCTGTATTGATACAAATTGAGTTTCTTCTGTATTACTAGGGAGACTTGCATTCAACTGAAGTTGCTACAAACTCGTAACAGACATGATTTCAACTTACGCGTCAGAGATCCTCCAGAAGATAGAGCTGTCCGCTTTGCGGTCTGATGTGGGCTGCGGCTGAAGGGGGTCTGGAGCATGTCCGTTTGCTCAGGGTGGCCGCTCCCATCCTGCTCGGATCCCTCAGCCCGACTCTAGTCCCCCTCCCAGAGGAGACGCCCGGCCTTTCTCTGCCACACCCTCACCTGGAGACCTGGGGAGATCACACCTGGGGCAGAGAGGGTGCTGGAGAGCTGGGCTCTGGGCAAAGCCTCCCTGGTGAAGAGCCCAGGCTCTGCAGATCACAAGCCATGCGACCTTGGTCAAGTCTCAGCGCTGCACTGAGCTCCTCATTTGCCAACAGGCGTGGCAGGGACAGGACCCCCGCACACAGGTGTGAGGCTGAATGAGGCAGCTCGTGGGGAGCCCTCAGAATGGTCCCTGGCGCCAGGAAGCGCTCCATAAATGGAACCAGCAGTCGCCATCTTGGGCTAACAGGATAGCCTAGACTTCCATCCCTTGGTCTGTGACAACCAGGCCGGATGACAACATAGCAACACGGCCGTGAATTAGAAAAAGAAAAAAAATAAGAAAGGAAAACTCGAATTCTGTGCCCAAGCCCCAGCGGTCAGGACTTGAGTACAAGCAGCTTCCAAAAGGCTTAGCCGCTGCCGGCGGGGACTGAACCCACAGACCCCGCCTGGGCCTCTGACCCCGCTTCGCACCACTGCACCTGCCCTTCTGACCTCCCACTGCAGGGTGAAACCTAGAATCACAGACTTGCGGGCCTGTGATAAAACAGATAGGACCTCAAAGGATTTTTATGCAAAGTCCCCACTTCCCACCATCAGCCTCATTGTTATTCTTCTCCGTCCCCCCTTGAGCCCCAAGTACATAATCACCCAGTAATGGAACCGAAATGTCTAAATGGCTGCAGTTCCTTAAGGACAGAGCTGCTTACCGATGAAAAAAGTCGGGAAACAATGTAGCAAGCCTCCCTGGCGCTGTGGGCTTGTGACCACACGTGTAACCACGGCACCCTGAGCCTCCTCCTCGTAGCGGAAAACAGAGCCAACCCTCCCGCTGCCTCTGAGCCGAGCGAGGGCCTTCCAACCTTCCTCCGGAGGTCACTTTATGAAAACTTAAGCAAAAGGTAGTAAAAGACGTTTTCCTGCACACGTCAGTTCTTCCGGAGAGAACAGAGGCTGGGGGGCCTGGGCTTGGTGTGGGCCCCGCTGCAGACTGAGGCAGTGAGCCCCAGAGAGGGCTCGGAAGCAGTCCCGGAGGCCTCCCTGGAGGAGCCCCTCGGAGCTCTGGAGGAAGCTGCAGAGGCACCGCTGGTCCCAAACACGGGGCAGCTCAGCGCCTACCAACCGTGCAGAAACCAGGCTCCCTCTTGGGGAGCAACACAGGACCAGTTCCGAGGCCCCCCGGGGTGGCTGCGGCCAGAGCAGCCCCCCACCCCCACCCAGGCCCTGCATTCACACTAAGGATAATTGTAAACATTTGTAAATAGTCCCTGAGGATCTACTGAAGGAAGCAGCTCGGTCCACGTTATGTACAAAACAGCCATCGCTCGGTGGCTGAACTCAGTGATCCGTGGCACCCAGTAGAGTTAAAAATTTTAATTATCATTTAAAAAAAGCCGCACTTATCATCTGAATGAAGCATGTCAGCACACACATCACCAAGTGATGATTCTGAATAGGATTTTTGTTGGTTGATTGCAGAAGCAATACCTCTTGTTGCTAAAATAACATCTCAAAGGCAATAATAATGACGACATGACAATCTATGTAAATCAAGAACTGCATGTGGGTTTATTTTACATTTGAGAAAACAGTGGATTTAATTGTGTGAACCAAAATGTACTGTACAATATTAATGATAGAACATCAAAATGTATAATTAATAGTGCACTGTTTGCTTTGTTTTCATTTATTTATTTTTGTCTGATATACATGCATCTGGAAAGACGCAGGTGCCAGTAAAATTTCTCTATTTAAATCAAGCTGCAGGAACTAAATTTTATTCAAAAATTGTGGTTTTACATTATATACACAGAAATTTAATATAAAATGACAATATAAAAAGTTAAAAGAGAAGCATACAGCCAGAAGGTACAAAGAAAGTTGAATAGATTAAAATGTACGATAATGTAACATATAGGGGTTTTTAAGCTGATGCTGGCAATTTACAGAGAAAGGACTCCAACATTTGCCCCATTTTTTTTTTTTCATTTACCAATGCAGCACGCTATAGAAAGGTCAGCTTATACCAAAGCTTACATTTGTAAATAACTATAAACTGCAGTATTTTACAGGAAAAAAGAAATAGCATTTTTACACATTTTTAAATAATAGCTTGCATACTTTTTTGCCGAAAGTGGCATTTTTTTTTTCAGCATCCAGAGGATTTGGGCAGAGTGGCAACTGGGGATGTTTGGTGGTGGTGGTGGTGGTGGTGGTGGTGGTGGTGGTGGGTTTTTTTTTGTTTTGTTTTTTTGTTGTTGTTGTGGTTTTAAATGTGTAAAGCTGTGGCTTCCTAACCCCATGAGTCCTAGACAACTTTCTATCTTCCAACAGCTGCATGCATGTTTCCTTCACAAACCAGTTCTGCATATAAAAGCTCGTTTTTTAATTATTAAATAAGTTTTGTGTCTGACACAGCTTTTGATCTGAATGAAATGCCTTTAAGCCTTTTTTTCTTTTCTTTTCTTTTTTTTTTTTTTTTTTTGAGTGAAAGGCACAGAAATGCAATTGCAGTCCTCGAAGGGTTAAATTTGACACTACTAGGTTCTATGACCTTTATTGTCATGGCAACTTTGTAATTTTAGGATGTCTTTTTATCATTGTTATTTGTGTCTTTCTTTCCTGCTAAATAAATGTCTCTGAGTAGTGTGCCCCACTATTTCCTACAAAAGATAGCTTAACATCAAGAACAGATGTTGAAAATAAAGGTCAGACTTTGACTCACGGAAAAAGAAAAATAACATGCACAATCGGACAAAGAGCATATAAATATAACTACAAAATATGTGTAAGAAAAACCAAGGTCCAGACAGCCGGCTCGGCAACAAAGGGAAGGCTGATTTCGGAGGCTCAGCCGGGCCTAGTGCAGTACAAAGAAGACGGTTAGTGCAATGTGCCTCGGTCCCTTGCATACCTGGACGCTACTGTTTTTCCAACTCTGTCACATAGATCAGGTGGTCCTCTGGGGACTTGCCGTGGGTCTTACTAAGGTGCAGTTTGACTGCGTGCTTGCTCGCAAAAGTCCGATTGCAAAGCTTGCATTGGAATGTGGAGCCCAAATCGTCCTCGGCGGCCCCTACTGGGCCCAGAGCTTTGTTTGCCAGGACTTTGGAAACGTTCTGCTGTTCTTGAATCTGATTGAGTGGCAGCTTGGAGAGATCGTTCAAGCTGAAGCCTAAGTGTGTCTCTAGATGATTTATGTACGTGGAAGCAGTTCTGAACTGAGAGGCACAATCGTTGCAAAAGAAAACAGGGTGCCCTGTGTCCAGGTTCTTCAGAAACTTGGTCCCCCCTGTCCTCCTCAGCTGGTACTTCACGTTGGCCAGCCAGTGGCTGATGGTGGTCATGGACAGCCCGGTGAACTTGGAGATGTGCACCCGCTCCTGGGGGCCCAGGTCCGACATGATGTACTTGCCCTCCGGCGTCTCCCGCAGGCTCGAGGCGAACTGAGCCTGGAGGATGAGCAAGTGCTGGGGGTTCCAGTTGGACTGTCGCCCCTTCCTCTTGTGCACGGGCGACAGCTCGTCCAGCGCCTCCTCGAAGCTGCTGCCGTCGGCGTCCGACTTCTCCGACACGGTGGAGGGCGTTGAGGACTTGGGGGTGAGCCGGCCCGTGAGGTTCTTCACCATGTCCGAGATGTCCATGAGGGCGCTCTCCCGGAGAGGCGACGCCACGGGGTCGGCCGCACTGGAGACCAGGGGCTTGCTTTTGGACTTGGTCAGGTCGATGGGCTGGTCGCTGTTCTCGTAGTAGTAGCGGTCGATGGCATCGGCCTGCTTGATGGGGGTGGCGGGGTAGACAGGCTTGTCCAGCATGCTGTTGCTGATCTTGTACAGCATGGCCAGCGGGTCCAGCGAGGGGCTCGCCGGCTTGGACACTTTGCCCAGGTGTGTGTTCATGATGGACTGCAGCGCGCTCAGCGGGTTGATGAAGGAGGGCTCGGGCGAGTGGTCTGTGATGACCGCCAGGTTGTTACAGCCGTTGGTGACTTTGGCCTTCAGCGGCTCGGTGCCGTTTGGCGTGTGAGCCTCCAGCACGCCCTCCTTCTTGGCCTTGCCCGCCTCCCCCTCGGGGCCTTTCTTCTGCTGGACTTTGCCACCGCTCTCCTCCGCTCGAGGGAAGTCCTTGTTCTCTTTGGCCACGGGCGACAAGGCCTTGGCCGGAGAGCCCTTCTCCCTGTCGGCCGGCCTCTCCTCCTTCTTGACACTGACCTTGCCCGTGACCTTCTCCACCAGCTCCTCCATGGCGGACACGTTGCTCTTGTGCGGGGGGGGCGTGAGGCTCCCCGGGGAGTGCAGGAGCGCGCTGTGCTCCGACGGCAGCGGCTTCACGCCCCCCGCGTAGGATGGCTGCATCTGCACGCTCTGCACGGCCGGCAGCGGCTTCACGGTGCCGGGCAGCTGGTAGGCCGCGTGGATGCTGGGGTAGCCGCCCCACGAGGGCGCGCCGTTCTGGGCTTTGCTGATGGCCGTGGACACCGTGTTCTCCAGCGACTTGAGGATGTCCACCCCGCCCTTGGGGCTGTCGTCCAGGTCCTCCTCGCGCAGGTAGCGGTACAGCGCGGTGGGCTCGAACTTCTCGGGGGCGTCCTGGCTCTCCTCCTTGACCTTCTTCTCCGCCTCGCCGGCCGCCGGCGCCTTCTCCTGCTCAGGCTCCTTCTTCTCCTCGGCGGGCGAGGCCCCCGCGGGAGAGTCGGGCTGCTTTTTGACGTGGGAGGCGGGCAGCCGGGTGTGCGTGGTGGGGGGCAGAGGGATGGACTGGATCTTCTCTTCCACCACGGGGTCCAGCGCCAGCTGCTTCCCCTTCTTGGAGGCCGAGGTGGTCACCTTGAGGAAGTGGCCGGTGACCATCATGTGGGCGGTGAGCTGCTGCAGCGTGTCGTGGGAGCTGCCGCACTCCATGCACTTGAGGATCTGCGCCTTGCGGGCCTCGAACTGCCAGGTGTAGCTGGCGCCGTTCTGGTAGCCGTAGCGGTTGTTGGGCGTCACGTAGGGGTTGGCGGCCTTCTGGTCCTTGGCCGACTCGCCGAGCGCCGCGTCGGCGGCCAGCCCCGCTGGCTCGGGAGAGCAGGGCGACGCCAGGTCCTGCAGCGCGCGCTTCTTGCTGGAAGGGACCAATTTGGTGATGGCCGGCACCGGCTCCTTCAGAGGCACTTTCTGGTAATGCTTGGTCTTGATCATGTGCACGCTGAGGTCCTGCAGCGACTCGAAGGAGTGGCCGCAGTACATGCACTTGAGCACTTTCTGCGCGTCCTCCTTCCCCTCCATCTCCATCAGCGAGCGCTTCCTGGGCTTGGACCACCGCTTGGTCTTCTCGGAGTCCTTGTCCCGGTTGTCGTCGCGGTAGTGCCCGGTCTCGTTCATGTGCACCGTCAGCTCCACCAGCGTGTCGTAGGCGGCGCTGCAGTCCCGGCAGCGGAACTTGCTGGCGCCCGTGAACACGGACCCGTAGAGTTTGTTGTTCTGCCTGTAGAGCTGCACGGTGCTGAAGAGGCTGGGCTCGGGGAGCAGCCCGTAGGAGGAGGTCTGCTGCAGCGTCTTGGCCAGCGCGGCCTGGTGCCAGTCGTAGCCCGAGCCGCCGCCGCCGCCGCCGGAGCCGGAGCCGGAGCTGGGGGTGCTCGCGGTGGTGCCCGTGGGCCCCGCCGTGCTGGTGGGGGGCGTGGGCGCGGGGGTGGAGCTCTCCTTCGGGCCCGCATCGGTGGTGCTGGTGGTGGAACCGGGCTTCTTTAGGTCCAAGGCGAGGCTGGACCAGCACGACTCGGAGAACAGGTTTGCGTACACGGCCTTGATCTGCGCCAAGCTGTCCTGGGGGTAGGAGACGCCGTCCGGGCCCTGCGGATCCTCCTTCTCTTCTCTGGAGGAAGAGCCCTTGAAGTGGACTAGCTGGTCGCTGTTTTCACTGAAGGGGGACCCGTAGCCCGCGTCCTGGTTAGTCGCGGTGCTGACGGGGGAGTTCTGGTAGCTCTGGGCTTCTCTGATCTCCGTCTCCTCGTTGCACACATACTCGCTCTCCTGGACGTCCACAGACGGCCCATCCTCCTCCACGGTCTCTTCATCTATCTCTGCTGCCTTCAGTTCTTCCTCAGGAACATAAGCTAGGAGAGAAAAATGAAACTCGGTGAGGGGAAATAAATCATCTTCAAGGACGCGGCCTCCCCAGCAGTTAGACCGTCCTTAAAAAGATGTTTCCCGGCCAAGCTCCCAGGCTACGAGGCTGCCCCTGCTTTACGTAACTCCCCGCCTCCAGCTCCGCAGGCACCAGGTTTCAGCCAGCACGTCGCACCCCATCCGAGCGAGCCTCCACTAAAGGGCCAGCGTCTGCCCCCGCTTAAAAACTTCACTTTGGCCGTCACAGCAGGGGCCGCAAGGGGAGCCTCGCCCCCTCCTCCCAGAGGCTCTTCGCTCCTAAGTGAAGTGCGGGTCTCTCACGCCTTCAGGTGGGACCCGGCTGTCAACTTTGAGGGCAAGACACGCCACAGACAGGATCATATGGTTTCCATAAATAAAAACCCTCCTCCATGGCAGGCGATAAAAATACTCGAGGCTTCACTACAAGGAAGAACGAAACATAGCACCACCAGCCCCCTGCCCAGACAAAGCAACATCACCCGCATGGGGACGCCAGAGAGGCGTGACCTACAGGGGTCCAGAGCAGGAGTCAAAGGTGGAAACAAGCAAACATCCGTTGACAAATGAATGGGGGAACAAAACGCGTGTCTATACGCAATGGAATATTATTCGGTCTTAAAGAGGAAGGAAATTCTGACACCCGCCATAGCGCGGACGGGCCTGGAGGACACTATGGTAAAGTGACATACGTCAGGCACAAAGGGACACATACTGCTTCATCCCACATATATGAAGCACCTATAATAGTAGTCAAATCCGGAGGCAGAGAGTAGAATGTGGTTTTCAGGTGCAGAAGGGGGGAGACATGGGGACTTGGTTTGCACATGAATGGAGTTTCAGCTCGGGAAGATAGAAAGTTCCGGAGACGGATGGTGGGGATGGTAGCCCGACAGCGTGACTGTCCTGGATGCCACTGAACTGTCCACGTAAAAATGATTAAAATGTTCACTGTTACGCTATGCACATTTAATCACAATAAAAACATTTTTTTTCTTTTTACATGTTAACGGAGCCAGGAGTACATGCTACAACCACCTCGGGCTACGGCAGAGTGACGTCTTGGGCTGAAGGCGTCATTTCCCAGGGCAAACTGCTGGATATAGACAGCTGTCACATGAATGAGGGGGTTGGAAAGCACAGAAATCATTAGACGAAACCTGATTTTTTTTACTGTGGGACATTTTAGATCCTTTAGCATGTGACACCTCTTGTTAATTCTCAAGGGGAGCTGAGTGTACGTACCACCTCTCATTTGACCAAAATGCATTTATTTGTTTGTATTTAGTTTTTTAGGAGACAACTAGCTGAACGGGTCCTCCATCCATATCTTGGGAAATTGGGCTTAAGATATCTTCCAGGAGGTGCTAGTAAATGCACTGATAGCACGCGAGAGGGGTGTCTCATTAAATGTGATCTATCATTATCACATTATCAGAGCCTGATCCTCAGGGAAAGTGGCAAAGAGCACACGCGTTTTCAGGAAGGGTTGAGAGGAGAGACCGAGGACATCTCGGCTGCCCGAAGGGGGATGTGGGGGGGGTGGGGGGTGGCAGGAAGTGAAAGGAGACTATCAGCACCTGCAAACAGAGTGCTTCAGGCTGGGGCAGCGGTGAGCAGCTCTGGGCGTGTGCACACATGCGTACGCGGTGAATACCGCTGACTCAGTCACGTGGACCTTGAGAATCCCTGCACACACCACCCACCGTGGGCCATCCCACACCTGGGTGCCGGCACCGAGCATCAGAGCGCCAGCATTCACGAGTTTCACAGCTGACGTTCACATGAAAGGAAGGTTCGCAAACAGACCTGGGCGTTACCGCTCTGGTAATACTGCGCCGCCAGCATGAAAAGTAACCAGGACTGCAGGACCTGAGGGTCACTAGAGGCACAGGCATCTGGATGGCGCACCAGACAACCCCATACGGCCCTCCTGTAAAACGTAAACCTCATGAAAAAAAAAAAAAAAAAAAAAAGATTGCCAAGTTGAATGTCATCTTCACCCTGTCTGTGATTATTAAGGGTTTAGGACCGTCCAGCGTTCTGAAGGTGTGCAGCTCTGACCCTCAGCCAAGGGCGTGAGTTCATGAAGCACCGGTCGGCCTCATCGCCTCTGAGCAAGCCCGGCCTGGGCCCCAAGGTCCGCCCCTGTGGGTTCTGATGGGGATGTCGAAGACTACGAAGCAGCCCGGGCAGGGCGGAGTCCGTTTGAAGATGCGGGCACCACGTCCCACAGGTGGCCTGACTCTGAGCTGTCCCAAAGCAGCCCCAGGGACACACCCGAAGGCCGTTCCACACGCCGGGATCCACTGCAGTGGTCGGTCCCCTTTGAGGAAAGCAGGATTCAGCCCCTAGCAATTACTGAAAACTAATTTCAGGACATCCGGGTGGCTCAGTCGGTTGAGTCCAACTCCAGCTCAGGTCATGATCTCACAGTTGGTGGGTTTGAGCCCCGCATCGGGCTCTGTGCTGACAGCTCAGAGGCGGGAGCCTGCTTCGGATTCTCTGTCCCCCTCTCTCTCTGTCCCTCCCCCCGGCTCCTGTTCTCTCTCTCAAAAATAAAATAAACATTAAAAAATTTTTTAAAGATAAACGAAACTAATTTCAAGGAAAGGTTTTACCCGAGGCAGTTTGGCTCCGCCTGGAGGCCCATCACGGCGGGTCTGCTCCCCGCGCCACCAGTCAGCTGGTCTGTCTCCGTCACCGGATGGCAGCAAGGCTGCCCACTGCCCACCCCAGGCTGGCACCCGGCAGCGTGTCCTGAATGGATAACCGACTTCCGCCCCAGCTCTGCAAGCCCAGAAACGGGAAATGCCCACAACACGGCTGCGGCTCGCCCTGCACCCCTGGTCCCCACAGCACCCCCATTCCGGGCCTGGAAGGGCGCAGCCGCGGCTAGGCTGCCACCTGCCTGCTCCCTCGGGCACGGGCTTCATCGCCCTCCCTGTGCCCCCGACCCCGGAGGAGTGCGGCGTCCTCAGACCACGCCGCATCCGAGGTGGTCCTCCTCCTCCCGAGGCGGTCCTGTCCACACTGGGAGGTGCCCGGGCTGAGCTAAGAGGAGTTTCACGACAACTCCACACGCCCCGAAGCAACAACGGTCGGGCGGAGCCGCACAGAACAAACCCCAGCCTCCTCCATAAGGAAGCCCTCCGAGGGCATCGTTTCCAAATGAGCCCGTCCCTCAGCTGGGACACCCGTGTCCCCTGTTCTCCGACGTGCCCGCCCTCCTGCCGCTCGCGGAGAGGCAGCGCAGCATGCACTAAGCGGAACCCGGGACCCTCTGTGCCGTCCCTGCCCCCGGCTGCGCGTGCCCACCTGCCCTGCATCCCTGCGGGGAGGCAGCTTCGAGGCCCCTCCGGCCCCAGCCGCGCCCCGGGGGACGGCACCCGCGCCTCCTGCCAGGCCCTCCCGCTGCTCTTGCCAAGGGCACAGCAGTCCCGCTCGGGGGTGTCAGCCTTCCGTGAGCCCTCCCAGCGCGCCTGCGACCACCGAATCCACGGCCCGCCCCCCACACGCCCGCCGGTCACAGGCCCTGGGGGGACGGCACGTTTGCACACGAAGGAGCTCCAAGGGCTGCGACGTGAACTTGGCGTGATGTGAGCCTTCCAGACGCTCCCAAGCCAACTATGTGCAAACAAAATGCTCCCCCTGCCCCGTCCCCAAACAACGGCACGCTCACTCCCGAACTGGGGATCCCCGAAGCCACCTGTTATTGAACGACCCCAACCAGTCACCCGTTCCAGAAAAACAGCCTTTGTCCTTGCTCCCAAGCCCGGCATCCAACACTGACCCCGACCTCAGAAACCCGGCCCCCGCCGCCCACCTGCTGCCGCAGCCGCCTTCCAGCCGGGCCACCCCCTCGGTCCTGCCACCCAGGGGCCCCGCTTTCACCACCCCGGAGTGGAAATCTCCATTCAAGTCGTGCCTGCACGGGGTGGGTGCAAGTCCCCACGTGGGCCCCTCCCCCGGCCACGCGTCCAGCCCTGAGTGCAGCCCAGTCCCAGGCAGGACCCCTCACCCCGACCTTGTGAAAAACACTTACCCTCACGGGGAGGCTCAGATGTCCCCTCCGTCACGGCGCCTCTCTGAATCCCTGCCAGCACCCACCGCTCCCCGGAGAACTGAGACGTTCACTTGCCTGTCCTCCTAGTGAAACTGTGCACTGTCACCCCGCGGACCCTGCTGGGAGGGGCGCGTCCACGCTCTCACCTCGCTTCACCCCACGAGCCCTCAAAGCAGCACCCCGAGATGCCTGCATTGCAGAGGGGGAAACTGAGTCTCTGAGAAGCTGACCCGCTTCCGCAAGGTCACTCAGGGAAGAAACAAATTCGCATCTGGGTTACCTGACACGCGGCCACCTCAGGGTACAGCTGCTTCGCTTTGTCAGCATCTCAGCGCCAGCCAACATGCCCAGGAAATGTGAGCGGGAGTGACCCAAAGGCATTCCGCAGGGAGCAGAGCACCTCTTCTGTGCAGGCGTGGGGTGTGACCAAGCGAGTCACATTTCTGAAATGCTGACACTCTTAGGCCCCATGATTTTCCTTCAGGACGGATCCGAAGCACAGAAAAAGCTTTATGCGCAAAGATGTCCGTTATAGTATAATTTCATAGAAAGCTTGCCACGCTCTGAATCTTTAACAATAAAAGGTAATTAAGTGATTTGTAATTTATTCCTACAACGGACAATTATTCAAACATTAAAAAGTGTCTCGGGGCACCGGGGTGGCTCAGTCGGTTAAGCGTCCGACTTTGGCTCAGGTCATGATCTCACGGTTCTTGAGTTTGAGCCCTGCATCTGGCTCTTTGCTGACAGCTCAGAGCCTGGAGCCTGCTTTGGATTCTGTGTCTCCCTCTCTCTCTGCCCCTCCCTTGCTCGCACTCTGTCTCTCTTTCTCTCTCAAAAATAAACACTAAAAAAAAATCGTTTTTAAGTGTCTTTAATGACATGAAGAGTCATTAAGTGAAA